ACTAAAGCTTTCAACGTTGTACCAGATTTATAATCTGAAACACACTGAGATTGAATTATTAGTGACGATGGTCTATCCGTTCTTAGTTCTATGCAATCAATCATGGCTATTGTAGAGGGAAATAAAGTCTTATACTCATTAGTTATTTTCGAAATTAAAACATCACGTGAAGGCAACAAACACAAATATCCCGGTCTATTATACATGTACTTTATCCCGCTATTGAAATTACACCTGATATCTGCATACTGATATTAAATCTAAAACTTAGGTCCTTTAACCCTACCTAGACCGGGGGGGGGGGCTAAAAGTGCCCGCGGCAACTTTGATGTCACCTAGCGTCTGAACGGCTAGCCGTAGAACGGCCAAACTTGGTGACTTTTCCTAAAATATTGTTGACAACAATTATCTATCATTGGATTAAGATAATAATTTTTTGTGTTGCCATGGCAATGGGTTTCTGACAGGCATTTTTTGCTAAATTTAGTACTTTTTGTTTCAACAATAGAATTGTATGGGTTTTATGTCAAGTTACTCATGGTTTCTAATATTAATAACATCCCATATAATTTTATGTAAATTTATCATTAAATATGCATAATTTATGCTAATTTGATGACGTCATTGGCCAAAATCCAAGATGGCGGACCATATCATTAGAACAGGTATATACAGGTTATTTTCATTAAAATTGCATCAATACTTCCATTTCTTTTTCCAAAAAAGGTTTAAATGAAGGTCTTTAGTATGTTTACAATGTATTTTAGGCTTTATCATGAAAAAAAACTATTTTTGAAAATTCAAGATTGATGATCCAAGATGGCGGATATCTTAACATATGCATGACGTCATTTATGACGTCACCGGTGTTGCTCTGGGCAACATAAGACTTAGTACACCATAATATTCTGTCATAAACACTTTTGGTACAGTAATGTTGAATACCATTTAGTTTTCAGGGAAAAACCTATTTAGACCGTTTTGGCCAATAAAATCACATTAATGACGTCATTATGACGTCATATTACGTCATAACGACATAAAAATTGTAGATATGATAAATTTTCACTAGTACACCATTCTCTGAAAATTTGGTGGTCATACGACATACCGTTCGCGAGTTCTTAGGGGGTGGGTCAAAAGAGCCCCCCCCCCGTCCCCCCATGTCAAAAAAAGCCCGGTCTAGGTAGGGTTAAGTTAACTCCGCCCCCTATCATTGTAGCTTGCCCAACAGTTGGGTATGAGAGTACATCTAGATGGCATTTTCACGTCGTACTTGCTGCATGGTATATCCCGCTACAAAGTAATTTCCTGTGGCATTTATCAAGATTTAAGAAGATTTGTGATACGAAATGAAATACGGATAACAATTTCTGTCAACTGTACCTTTGAAACGGCATGGGCATAATCTTTGTTGAAGATTGCTGAGTGCATTGAAACTTACCATCAGTCGAGGCACAACTTTTATGTAGTATCACATGTTACGTTACGACGAACAAGAAAGTTCCGGCTTGCGGACCATTTCAAATATTACCACCCATAAACCCTCTTGCAACTGTAAGTATATACTCGTATTCTAGTCCAATGTTTTCAGCTACGTGGCTACCGGCTGAGTTTGGGAGGCCTTACATCGTGGGAAATAAGATGAAACCTTTCTTAAAACCTATTTTGTTCCTGCTGATTATTTTCATGTTCATTTGTTTGCGTTTGTTCTCGAAACTAACATAAACAGTGGTAATTTCCCAGGTTCCCCTTGAACGTTACACAGAGTCGGAATACTAAGTAAACATGTATCGACTGACCAGTCACATACAATTATTACGAACAGCGCAGTTTATTTACAAAATCTCCCATGCTACTTGCACACAAGTACCAGGTATAATTGAGTGGCAAAACTGACGAATTTCTGGGTGGAAGAATTACACAACAAAACATTTCACGAACAGAGTACAAATGTACGTCAGCATAACGTACAATGTACTGCGCCTACACGGATAATGTATTGTGCATAGCATTTCAGTCTTAAAGGCTGTACTTGCGTGTTTAAGGGTGACACTCTGTCTCTAGTTTTCAAACACTCTTTTGGAAAATATATTGCCTACAATGGGCAAAACTGTGATGTAACATTCGGCAAATATCCAACGAAAAATGTGAGAAATCTGAGTTTTGCGCAAGCACAGTACATTCTGCCAAAATTCTCACAAGTACAGGCTTTAGAATGATGGGTTCAAATAAGAGTGCAATGTTAAGATAAACATCAATAAATCTACTGTTGCTCAAAAATTTGCAAACATGTACTGTACCAGAACTGTTGTAGCAGTGGTGAAACAACTAGTACAAATGTACTTAAATGTGAAGCCAAAGACTCAAGTGACTGAACTTGAATTTCACCTCCAAATTATAATCACAAGTGAAAGGCAACTCACAAAATATTTATACAGGCACAAAACATAAATAAGAAACACATATCTTATTGATTTCTTGTTGCTTTCAATGACAAAGTTCTCATCTAAAATAATGAAACTCTTTTTGGCCACCATTAATACATGACATTGTACATATGACCCTGTTAAACTTTCACATCATCCCTTGTTTGGATATTTATATACTGGACAAATATCCACCTACATGTACTATGAGATACTTTTACCTCCATTTACTACTTAAGTACTTGTACATTACTAATTCAATAACCTTCGTCAAAAAACTGAATGCAGTGCTCCCTGAGCTATGTTCAAATACTGTAAATCACTTTCTACTCATGGTTTTCGCGGTCATTTCTGTACCACAAATTATTCGCCTACTTTCTTTCTTCCGCACCTGCCACCATTTTTCCATTTTTCTCAGGCCGCAAAATTTTGCTACCACAAATATAAGGTGATTTACAGTGTACGGTACAAGTGGTGGGTATACACTTATATCTTCTAAAGTACAATGTACATGTAAGCCACAACAGCTCCTATTTACATGTATAAGCATGGCACAACTTGCAGAATAATTTTACAGTCTCAAGAGCTGGGCATATACAGAAATGAAATCTCATGAAAGAATTAATATCTTTGATGAAATGTTGTTGATGACATCTTTTCCTTTGATGAATGAAATTTGACTCAACCTATTGGAAAGTTTTCTTTTGCCCTGTCCTTTCATATTTTTTCAGAATAAAATCTAAAAACCAACAAATTAGATTTCTGTGGCCTGAAGGTACACTGAAGAATAGCAAGTTGAAACATACAACTCTAACAGTATTCCATGTTAATACTGTGTGGTGATTTGGCAACTATGTGTAAGACTGACTGGCCAATTCAAACAAATACAAATTTTTACATTCAGTTATATTCTGAACATTACATGTAGTTGTTCTGAATGCATACTAATTACTATTTTCATCAATTTTATCTTATATACATGTACACATATAGCAGTCATATCATTTACAATTTGGCTCATTATACATTATTGTACATGGACCGCTTTCAGCACTAAGGCTTAATGTACATTGTAGGTAGGTTGGGTTGGGGGTCTGCTATACATGAAAGCTAAACCGTCCAGTGTTTTCCCAAAAATAGTAAGAACGCAATCAAATCTTTCTAGAATATGAATGAATATGTCATGACCTAATCAGTTAATTTGAAGTGTTCACTTTCTTTACCATTACAAAAGGCATGGTAACAATACTGAATAGACTTCAAGTCTCTACCACTAGAAAACCAGTGTCTGTGTACCGAAACCCACTTTTAAGTTCAGGTCCAGATTCAAGTCCAGAGGTTTAGGTTCAGTTCCAGACTCGTAAGTCCTGAGCTAAACCCATGGCATATACAAAATTGCATGTTGGCAACCATGCAATGTTGTCTGGGTGAAACTTTGGCAACATCACATGGAGGCCGATACTTGACGATGTCTGATGGCATTATGTTTCCTTCATTTTGCAGCACAGATTTTGCAAGCTACGGTTTTAGGTGGTTTGAAATGAAAAGGGGTATGACGTGACATTTTTTTTTTAATAAGTCTGTAATCGATTCTTGACTTCTAGTTTTTTTTGGTATGTGAACCTCAACATTTTACAAGTCCGGAACTGGTCCAGCAAACCGGAACACAGCACTAGTCTGTGGTCATATCCAACAAAAGTCAAACTAATTACTTTGTTACGCAGCTATCTTGTGTATGATTTAAATGTGGATATTAAGTACCAGAAAACTACAAAAATATTTACACCTAAGAGAGACTAGCTCAAACGAAGTCATGAAGTTTTCCAATGTCATTAAGGCCACACCAATTTAATTTCTTGGTTAACGGATTTTTCTAG